CAACTTGGGCCAGTGAAGCAACGTCCTCCACAACTAGACTGAAGAACAAAAGGACAGCAACTTGTCTGTTCCCCTTCCCTCAATTCCCCAGCACTGTTGCCATCCCCCCAATTCCCCAATAAACATCTTTAAAAAAAAATGTTACACAATATGGCATACAAAACATCTTTGTTGTTGATAGTGAAAGCCACAAGAAAACATCCAAATGTCACAGCAAAAGTTAAACAACAAACATTTATTTCTCACAGTTCTGGAGACACCAGATCAAGGCGCCAACAGATTTGGTGCCTGGCGAAGGCCCACTTCCTCACTCAGATAGCTTTCGTCTGGATGTGTCCTCACATAGTGGAAGGGTGAGGGGGCTTTCTGGGGTCTCTTTTATTAGGGTCCTAACCTTATTCATGAGGACTCCACCTTAATAACCTAAATCACTTCACAAAGGCCCCACCTCCAAATAGTATTACATTGGGGATTAGGTTTCAGCATATGATTTTGGAGGCACACCAATTCAGTCTCTAACACTCATGCAAGTGCTTGTGAGGCCACCTCAGATTTGTCCTAAAGGCCCTTGCCTGGCATCGTCTTGAAATGGTGCCAACCAGATGGCCCAAGCCCAGTCAACTTCCCCTGGTGACGCTGTTATTGTTGCCATGCCCCACAGTGGGTGGCCAGCTGCTTCATAGCCTCCCTTTCAGTTCTGGCAATACTCTCTTCTTTCTCCTACGGCATCAAGCACTCTGCAGAAGGAGATGGTTACCACCCCCAGGGATGGGGGTAGTGAAGGAGAAAAGAACCTCTCTTCCTGACGAGCATACTCCTCAAAGGCTAGCCTCAGCCACCTCTCAGTCCTCTCCCGTGGAGCAGGGACATGGAGCAGTAGAGAGCAGCATATGGAAGGACTAATTATCTTACTCTCGGTAAGCCCTGACCCCTAACAGCTGGTGGCACTGTGACCTCAGAATGTGGGGTGTTTTACACCTTTATGGCTCAGCTTTAGGCCTTAGCCTAGATTCCTGAACAACAGTAAAACCTTTCTCAACCTTTTATGGTATAAGTAGGTGCACTGAAGCCACATCGCCAATCATCAATTATCAATAACCTGCCTTTATCTTGGCCTTGTGCTAAGAGCAGAGTGAATGTAAGGGACTTAAATGCATTTAAGTCAAAATACGCCTGACTTAATGAGGCAGCAGGCAAAAAGATGCAGTTTGATAGGGGAGATTGAACGTATACACGTATGCTCACAAATAATGCAGAAAACAAACACCCAGAACAATTAAGCCAGCATGTGCTTTATGTTACATCCATTTTGCTGAAGAAGGAACAAAGACACACTTATTTCAGTGGGTCGAGCCTTTTGTCTTGACTCCCAGCTTTATTCATATTTTAAAATTATTTGTTTTAAAATAATTTGCAGAAGAGTTGTAAAGATAGTACAGAGAATTCCTGTATACACTTCTTCTCTTAATGCTAACATCTAAGAAGCTAACATTGATATACTAATATTAACTAAAATGTAACTTTTTTTTTCCTGCTAATGTCCTTTTTCTGTACCAGGATGTGATCCAAAGATTACTTAGTTATCATGTAGCCTCAGTGTCCTCCAACCTGACAGTTTCTCAGCCTTTGTGTTTCATGACTTGAACACTTTTAAGAGTTCTGCTCAGGTATTAGTAGAATGTCACACAATTTGGATTTTCTGATCTTTTTCTCATGATAAAACTGGGATTGTGGATTTGGGAGGAGAATACCACAGAGGTGAAGTATCCTTCTCCTTGATCACATAGCAATACAACTTATTACCAGCGAGTTATCCTTGATCATATGGTCAAGGTGATGTCTGCCAAGCTTCTCCACTGTAAATTTACTTTTTTCCCCATTCCATAGTCTATTTGTTAGAAAATTGTTACTAAATCCAGCCCACACTGAAGGGAGGAGTATCAAATAATTTGTGGACATGTGTTAAAATCATCACAGTAATTAATAAATATTTTGGGGATATGCAGCTATCTTATTTCTCCTTAAATCTTTCTCCTTACATTTTTTGTCCTTAAATTTTAGCATTCATTAAGAGTTACCCACAGCAATTATTCTGTGTGACTTAATGGTGATTTTCTTTTCCCCTCATTTCTTCTACATTTATTACTTGTAATTTATCTGTCAGGAAGATTTATCCCTTTCTTCTATTTTATTTGTTTATTTGACCATTGGTATGGATATCAATCATGGATATTTATTTTTTGTTCTTTGGGTTATAAATTTACATTATAATTATTTTTATTGCTCAGGTTGTTCTAGCTTCGCCTTTGGGAGCTCTTTCAGTTGGCTCCTGTAGACACGCCCTCATCTTTTCTTTCCCTGTTCACCGTTCTCATTTTCCTTCCCTTCCCTTCCCTCCCCTTCTCTTCCTTTCCCTACTTTTCTCTTCCCTTCCCTTCCCTTTTCTACAAGACAATCAAGCTCATCCTGTATTTTCTCTAGCCAAGCCCTAGAAATAGTAATTTCTCCAAGGAGCTCTGTTTCCTTTTATCGGAGAACAATATTTAGAAACTAAGATCTGAGGCTAAGTGTGTTCATCGCTACTGGGGTGCCGTTGCTTCTGGGCTCCGTAGTGGACAAAGCTAAGAAATGTATTATACTAACTTGTGTCTATATTTATTTCTGTACCTATTCATATATATTAAAATAAATATGAGTTTAAACTGTACCCCCAGCTTTAATCCAGTGCCACAGAGTTCATTGGAGCCTTTCTTACTTGTTTTTTTGTTACTTCTTTCTCAGATAGTAAGAAACCTGCCTCTCCTTATTTATAACATGTTTACTTACTTGTTCAACCTTAGTATACATTTAAAGTAGTTTCAGGATTGCTAACCTATATGCCTGTGAAACTCAAATTTACCATCTAGAGAACAGTGTTTAGGTAGAATTCTTTGTGTCTTTATCTTCCAGTTTCAAGTGAAAACATTGTTTCCCAAAGTTAATTAGGCCAACTCCTCCCCCCCCCCCTTCAGTGATGTTATGTCATATATTTGTAATACAGTTAGATTCATTCCATTTATATTCCATCATGGAGTCCCCTGACAGCCTGGTTAATTTTTTTTTAATTTGCATGCAATAAAAGTCAGTCTGTATGCTATACAGTTCTTTTTGCAATTTCATAGATGCATGGATTCATGTAGCCACCCACCACAGTACCATACAGAACACCTCCAATACCTTAAAAATTCCTTTGTAGTAAACTCCTCCCCTTCCCTCAAACCTCCCAATCACTAATCTGTTTTCTATCCCTATAGTTTCACCTTTTCTAAAATGTCATATAAATGGAGTAATACAATATGTAGATTTTTAGGCCTAGCTTCTTTTATTTAGAAAAATGCATTTAAGATTTGTCTATGTTGCGTGAATCAATAGTCCATTCCTTTTTTTACTGTTGAGTATGGATATTCATTGTATGAATACACTGCAGTTTATCCTTTCACTTGTTGAAGGAAATCTGGGTTATTTCTAGTTACAGGCAAATGAGAATAAAGCTACTATAAGCAGTCATGTATGGTTTTTTGTGTGAACACAACGTTTCAGGTCATTTGGGTCAATACCTAATAGGGGAATGGCTGGGTCATATAAGTGTATGTTTATAAGAAATTGCCAAACAGTTTTCCAAAGTGGATGCTATGCTTTGCAATCCCATCAGCAAGGAGTGAGATTTCTTACTATTCCACATCTTGTCCAGCATTTGACTGTCCACCTTCACTTTGAAGTGGAAACTGTTCCCCACCCCCACTCCCACTTTTCCTTTCTTTTTGGCCTCTGCCCAGATTACAAAATAATCTGTAGTTTTCCTTTTCAGCCTGCTGGTATTTAGTGAAGGTAATGGTTTTAGACTATATTTCCACTGTGCACTAAAGTACTCCCCTATTTTAGCAAACGTTTTAGCAAACGTTCTTAGGTTGGTTTGAGAGATAATGGCATCCTACTTGAGAAGAATTTCTTTCTGGCTTTCCCAAACCTCTGCTTTGTGAGCCCCTTAGCACCCTACTCATCTCAGCCTCTTTTTAGCCTACCCGAGTGAATCCGCTGAAATACGAGGATAGCCATGGGTCTTCACTAGAAGACCTGTAGTGGCTTTGGATCTGGCAGGATAGATCACTCCATGTAGAGTTCCAGCTGGGTGGCTGGGTCTTAATTCATCAGGAAGGAGCTGTGTGTCTGGCCCCTGCTCAGAGCCCCTGCCTCCTAAGTTGGTAGCTAGCATATTCTCGTAGTCATTAGAGTCCTTATTTGACATCTCTTCTTCGTGTTTCATCTGACTGTTCTCACTCTGAGAAGATGGCTCATAAATCACATAATCCCCTAAATCCAGGGACCTCCCTGATTGCATGACAAGTTGGACATGGGTCTCTAGACCATCTGTTCTGCTCTCTACATGGTCTATGTTTGAGGGTGTCACTTTTTCTGCCTGCTGCTGGCTTCCATTGAGATATGTTGGTGGGACATTTTCATACTCTCTGCAGCACTGAACAGACACCCAGGGATGCTTCTCCTGGATGGCCCTGAGATCCAACCCATCCATATTGACATAGTCATTTGAGGTCTGAGAAGAACCTTCTTCATCAGTGAGTGGATCATTGCTCTCAGTTCCTGGAGACCAAAAACTGGTGCAGTCACTGGCATTTCCACACCCTTTGTCTCCTTCCTCAGTAAACTTCATCTCCTGGGCACTTGAGAGGACAAAGAGGTTCTTGGGAAGGGTGTTGTTAGAAGCTAGAGTCTCAGCAAATTCTTCTGCTGTGGGGACATTGACATAATCTCTTGAATCCTGTGAAGAAATGCTCGTGCAGTCTCCAGATGCTCCGACATTGACATGGTGTGCTGAGAGAGTGAGGTTCCCACACATCTGGGGCCGCATGGCATTGTCATAAATGCCCACAGCATAACCCACAGCGTGAGTATGGGTCCTGTGCACCTGGAGGGCATTGCTTGCTGGGGAGGGCTATGAGCAAAAAGAGAAAGCCAGTGACAAGATGGAAGCAGAAATATGGATAAAGCCTTTCTTCTTCCCCACCCAGTGCTGCTATCTGATCATTTCTTCATTCAGCTTACCACCTGGGAGAAAAGCTCTGAATCAGGATTTCCAAATGCAAGTCTTTAGATGCTATATAGGTCTGAGCAAAATGGGCTGAGTTTAGGGAAAGCAATGGTGTAAATTTGATAATAAGTAGTAACTGTTTTTTTGGCCACAATGTGGGGGTTCAATGGGGTGTGGGGAGAAGCATAAAATGTGCTGCCTCAGAGCACATTGAGGGGCAACATAGAATAGCGGCTAAAAGTAGAGACTTGGGCTCAGACTGAAAGTATTAATCCCAACCTCACCACTCTGTGCTGATTTTGGGCAAGTTACCTAATCTCTCTGTGCCTTAGTTGCCTAATTTATAAAGTGAGGATAATTTTAATACCTATATCATAAGGTTTTTGTGAGGAGTAAATGGATTACTACGTGTAAAGTATTTAGAATAGCTCCTGGAACCCAGAAAACACTAAGATATGCTTGCCATTATTATTAAAGCGGCAGCTGACACAGACTCACCTGATTATGGCCATTTAGGGATGCTGGTCTGATGTTTCCAGAATTTCTGAATTTTCAAGAAAAGCTGGATATCTGGCCTTTAATGTGAAATTTTTTTAGATTTTCAAATGTTGGCCACTTGCTCAAAATGTTTTTCAAACATTTAGTGTAAGCTAAATATATCTGTAGGCTGAAGTCAGTTTGGAATCTAAGCTCTAGATGCAAAATCCCCTCAGGACCTACCCAAGTCTTGGAATGAAGTTTCCTCTTTCCTGCCCTTTACCAGTGGAGTCCAGGGATGGGACAGGTGGGAAGAGGAGGAAGCAAAGCTGGCAACATGGAGGTGGCCACATGGTAAAGACAGGCTAGGTAACACCACCATCAGCAGCGTAACTGCATTTGCTTGACCACAAAACTGCAGGGACTGATTCTTGAACAAACGAACAAGATCTTAGCTGTGGAAATGGGCACCCCGGTCTTCAGAGCAGTCCCTCTGCCCCACACTGAGTGGGACTCCTCCGTGGGAGCTGCCTTCAGAGCCAGAGCATAAGACACATGGGGTTATTAGTTGTAATACTCCCTTGGTAACCTCAAAGGATAGCTCCCATCTGATCGAACATTTTCTACACCAGTGCTCAGTGACTTATGACTATTTCTGCTGTTGAGGATAATTGAAATAATTTGACACAAGCCCCAGAAGTAATTCCCAAAGCAGGGTTTTAAGTCTGCTTTGAACACCAACAGCAATGCTGGAATATCTGTGACCCTCTGGAGGTGATTACTTTGAAGAGACTATGCTCATTTGAATAAACATATTATCACGTCTTTGTTAAAACAACCCATTGCAGCTCTAACATCATGTCCTGGAGTACTTGTGCCCTGGTGCCCTTCTTAAAATCTCAACCACGTGCTCGTATCTATCGTAATTTTTCTCCTTGGGCAGTAGGGAGGTCCTGAGGCTAGTCTTCCAGGTTTATTAATAGAGCCGCAAGGGCAAGTGCCAAAGGACACGTTGTTCAACTGTGGTGACAAGATCGGGGACCTATGACTCTTTCACCTCAGTTTTTCTGCCAGAAACAAGTCGTTTCTCCCAAGAGGCTGGTCATTTCACATAATTCTTACCATATACGCTGAGGGAGGGCTGTCAGAGTTTCTGGAGAGGAGGCTCTCAGTACTGAAAATGCGTGTACACCTTGACTGGTGTCTCCCTGAAAGGACAGAGAACAAATCCTAATGACAGTTAGCCAGTCCTAGCTTCAGCCTCAACACTCCCTGCATCGTGAGTGAAGTGGGTTTGTGTGGTGTCTGGTATTTGCGGGCTGGTGTTCTGTGGTGAGAGGGTCAGAGCTACAAGGATGATACGTTCTGAGACCTGGAGCCCTCCTCAGCTTTCACAATCCCAGCGAACACGAGCGAGCACAAGGGTGTTGAGGCTCAGAAGGAAGCTCCTGGTGTGAGCCCTCCCTGCCCATAAGCTGGAGGCCGTGTTCTCCTTCTGAGTGTCCTCCCCAACCCTCGACGTACCCATCTGCCCTCTACTACCTTAACATCAAGAAAAATCAAAACCCCAAACTTAGACAACTTCTGTTCCCTTTTTAGAGCTCTCTACCCCTCCTCCCCACTGGAGCTGCATCTTATAGCCTATCTATTCCATTCTCTTCTATGTTCCCTTATGGGCAGAAAGTTCTAGAAATTTAGAGGAAGTTGCTTGTAGCTAGTGAGAGGTGCATTTTGGAGCAGAAGTTTGGTATGTCTGGCCTCTATGGTTTAGAAAGAAAAACCTACCCAGTTCTTCTTGCCTCCGGGGCAAGAAGTTGTAAATATTTTTGGCTCGTTGCCTGGGTCGAGGCAGAGTCCGTAAGGGCATGACAGTAACTCGCAGGTAAGGACCTCGCCCTGCATGGCAACGAGAGAGAAGGGGACTCTTAGGTGTGAAATGGTCCCTGAAAGTATTTCCTCACTCTGAATCATAAAAACTGAATTTTTAGACTTGGTAAATTCCATTTGAGTTCTAAGAATAGGGGACTTGGTGAACAAAGCAGGGAGAGAAAATGGGGGCCCAGGGTTACTAGAGTAATGACTTTCAAAATGGAACCACAATCAGCACTGAGACTTTTGGAGCCATAACCTAGGATCTTGAATGAATCAAGGAACAGTGTGCTGGATAAGTACAGAGGACTCCCTGGTGCAATAGCATATCCCTAGAGTACAAACTGGGCTTTAAATGCCAGGCTAGATCATTAGTCCTAGTGTGTCTCAATTTGGGACAAACAAGGGACTCACGCTTTTTCCATTTATTCCAGTTCCACAGGACACAGAGAACCGCGATGACCAGGAGGACGGCGAGGAGTCCCGCAAACCCCGAAAAGATGCTGCTGCTCTCGTCTTTATATCTATGAGGAAAACCGAGTGCCAGGACCCAGCTGTGGGAGGGTGGGGAGGTTGGAGAAGTGCTTCTTTCAGGAGTTGGAGCCCATTTGGAATGGGAGCTGGGTAAAGGAAGGCCAGGGTGGGGTGGTGGGCTGTGTAGTGGAAGAGAGTCACTTCTTCACGGACAGAGGGAAATTGGACACAAGAGACGGACTATCCCATGTGAATGCCTATTGGATGCCAGGGGTTTGCATGTGCTACTTATTTAACCTTTACAACAATCCCATACTCAAGGAACCTGAGATTTAAACTCCGAAAGGTAAATTCACATATCAGAGATCGCACAGGTAGGAAGGACCAAGGTTGGAATGTGAGTCTAGGTATGTTTTGGCCCAAAGATCATGCTCTTTCCACTGGATCACACTGGCTTCCAAATTTTCAGAGTCAAGTTCATCTGCCCTTGCTTTCCCTCATTCCCAATCCTGGGTGGATTACCCAATTTACAGTTAGGGTGTGGCTCTGTGACAGTCCAGCTTGTGTGCACGTGGGTAACCTTCACAGGACCAACAACTTGTGGAGCTGGCCTCCAAGCAACACTCTGTTCTGTTGAATTTAACCAATGCAAATGCACCGAGCAAGTTCTGTGCCACTTCTGCTACAAGGGCTGGCATTACTGCTCTGCGTTGCCTTGTTACTGTCACAGCAATTAGCCAGAAGGAAGAACTAGCAGGCATGCTACCCCCGAATATTAGGAACCAGGTCATCCATCAGGGAAGGTTTTCATCCTCCTGAGTTCTAGGCTTGTTTATCCAACTTTATACTGGACATTTCCACTAGGCTGCCTGACATCTCAAACCAAATCTGTCTGAAACAGAACTCCTGTTCTCTCCCCATAAATTTGCTCCTCCGCTGGGATTTCCCATCATCTAATAGCTCAGTCTAAAACCATCCTTGACTATTCTCTTTCTTTCATGACCCACTTCTAGTCAACCAGCAGATTCTGTTGCTCAGCCCTCGGCATCTATCCCAGACCCGATCACCTCTCATTCCTCCATTGCCACCTTCGGGCCTAAACCACTGTGTGTTCCATATGGACCTTTGCAATAACCTTCCTAATGGGTCTCCTTGCTTTCACTCTCAGCCCCAACACACTATTTTCAAACATGAGCTAGTGTGACCCTCTAAAAGGTAAGTCAGATCACATCCCTCCTCTGCTTGCAACTCTCCATGACTTGCCATCACACCTGGGATAACAGCCATAATGAGGACTTCATAGTCCTACCCAGTGAGGACTTCACGGTACCTGATGTTTTGGCCTCTGTCCATCTTCTGACCTCATTTCCTACCAACTTTGACTTTGACCACCAGGGTTCCTTGCTGTTCCTTGCCCACGCAAATCATAGTTCTATCTCAGACCTGCTGCTCTCTCTCTCAACTGTCTGCATGGCTCAGTCCTTCATTTCATCCAGGTCTTTTCTGAAATGTCACCTCCTCAGGTAGGTCTTCCCTGGCCACACCGATTACTCTCAGTCCCTCACCCTGATTTTTCTTAATAGCATTTATGACTGATGTTATATTATACATTCATTTGTTTATCTGTTTCTGACTCTCCCACTTGATTGTAAGCTCCAGGTCACAGACTTGTCTACCCTGTTCACCTGGTACCTGGAACTGTGCCGGGTACTTAGTAAGGGTCTGATGAATATTGGTTAAATGCATGAAGAGTGAATTAATAAACATACGAATAAATACAGAAATCGTTTTATGGGGGGGCACTCCAGGGTTCTGACTTTATTAATTCACCCCCATCAATGCTCCTGTCTACCTGCAAGTGACATGTGTTGGTCATGGTGATATTTATTTCCCCAAATTACAGCGATTTAAAATTTATTATACTTGAGTTCTGTTGTTGTCATAGTGCTGAAATTTATACCTACCAGTGTTCCTAAACTTTCAACTGCAGATGGACTTTCAATTTTGTTAGTAAGATCTTGAAACTAAAGATATAGTATTGGGTTGTCATGACACATAGACGCATAGAAGCATAGAAACAATATGTTATGACTTTTCCGACAACCCAATAGTAAAATTGATATCTACAACTAGTTCTGTGAGATTTTATGTCCTAAGGATATATCTTCGTCACAGCTACGATTATATTTTTTATTCACGGCAAATTTTTAGGACCTAAAAACACAGCTTTGGACAAAGTGGGCCTTTTGTTTTCAGCATGGTGGGACCTAGTATTTTTCTGATTGGTGGAATCTGAAATAGGGAAGACTGAGAACTGTGATCAGGGCCTCTGAGAGGTGAGAAATCCAACCAAGCCAGGCAGCTATCTCTCAGGAAATCCTGTGTTATCATAGCTTTTCCTCTCTCCCAACGACTCCTTTTACTCTTCAATTCCTATTCCTTTATCTCCCAGAAATCTTGAGCAAACGTCTCTGAGCCTAGAGTTTGATGGTTTTAGTGAACTTGAGCTTGGTTACAGATGGCAGAACTGCAGGGTAGAAACCCCCCCAGGGTAGACCAGGGCCCTCTGTGTAATTGAGGGAAGGGTGGAGCTCTCCACCCTGAGCCACTTACCTGTCCAACCTGCCTAGAGTTGCTGGTAGAGAGCTGGGCTCCCAGGTACTTCCTCTGATTTCTGAAAGGGTTGGGGTGATGACATCCATTGTCACAGGAACCTCTTTGGCGTCAGCTTCTCCTTGTAAGCCTTCTCTTCATCATAATCAGCTAGCTAGCATGTCTGCCACTTTTCCTGGCTTTTCCAAGTTGCTGTCTCCCAGAAGAAAAGGGAAAATTGGTTTGCATTTTACATTTAATCCTGTGCGGTGAAACCACTTTTTTTAGTAGATAAGAATAACAGAAATCCTCCTGGTCTCCATGACTTCCAAACAATCCAAATACACAACTTTTTAGTCTCACAATTTCTGCTTCTGAAATCTTTATTCACCAAAGTCCTTCACAAAAAACAAACAAAAACAAAAGTCTATTGGTTTTTAAACTTCCAATCTTTCTAGAAGTTTTCCCCCCAACAAACTCCCTACCTTATGTCTACCCCTGAAACGTCCAGGCTGACTTGACCCAAACTACGAAAACAACAGGTTTGGCTCTACCTGGATGTGGCTACCATGCCCATTGTAGAAGGGAAGAGTTCATCTGGGTGTCGTGCTCCCCTTAAGGTGGCTCAGGGAGAAGCCACCATTTTTGTCTTCTGCTGAAAGCGTGAGGGCCACAGAGGTGGAAACTGTCAAGAGGCTAGAGAGAGGTTCCGTGAGAAGCTCATCTTCCCCAACCCCCAAAGCAGAGAAAAGAGCAAACACTTTGCCAGAATGGAAACAGAGAGTCAGTGACAGGAAGTGATACCACCAATGTGCTAATGAAGCATGTGGCACAGGAAATGCTGCACAGCTTTTAATAAGAAAGAAAACATGTCTGCACCCCCTGTTCCCTGGATTGGCCAAGTGCGCTGTGGTCTGCGGAGAGTATGATTGCAGAGGGGCAAGGCGGCAAAGCATTCACCAATGGGTTGTTCACGCTGGGCTTCTGAGGTATTTAGTGTTTTATAAGCCTCCAAGTTTATAATTTTTTTTTAGCAGGTCTAAGGAGAACTAGAGGATGCTGTTTAGACACAAATGCAGATCTCTGGCACCCGATGCTAATTCATGGGTGGAGAGCATGAAGGTTGTTTTCATAAACACTGCCCAGGTGATTTTGACAGAGCTGATGTGTTTCACGTTTTGAGAAACTCTGTTCTGGGTATTCCCCCACAATGGAGCTGACGCTGGTTTAGCAGGGCTCCTGGAGGCCATTTCAGCCCTCCCTTTCCCCTTACTCCTTGGAGGTCTGCCCTCGGTGGCCCCAACTGCTGGCTGTCGTGCCCACAGGGCTTTTCTGGAGAAGACGGATCCAGTCCTGCTTGTTGTGCACCTGTCTCAGAAGCTGGCTGTTCATCCCCTGTGTCTAACTAAAGTTCCAAACTTTGAGGATTGTTCAAAATTTGTTTTTGTTTCCCTTCCCCTGTTCCTCTTACCAATCTCCTGAAGCTCTCTTTGCATCTTGGGACAGTCCAAAGAGAAGGGGCCAGTAAGACTATGAAAAGGGTGAGAAGAAGAGTCTCTGACTTTGCTTTCCAAAAGAAAAGGGATTCCCAGATGGATGGCAGGGAAGACAGCCAGTGCTTCATCACCATGCGTCCCTCCCATCTCTTCCTGATCACCCCCTGCCCTGCACCTGTCCAGGCTCTCACAGGTCCCCTAGGGGAGGAAGTCCCCAGAGCTCTGCCATTCCAGGTCCGCACTGCCCCCACACCTCCAAGTTATCCTTACCTGGCAAGAAGCAGAGATGGCTCAGAGGCAGCTGGTTCTAGAGCTGGAATCCGGGTCTCTGTCCACTTCTCCTTTAGATCGAGACTGAGTAAGAACTAGGACTCTTCAAGGGAGAAAGGTCCATTGCTCGGGTTAGTGGCTGGGACTATTGGAAGAGCGAGGCTCCCCAGGCTTGTCCTGAGCCACTGGCACCCATAGGAGACTGTGTGTGAACCAGGAACTTGCAAGATGATACATGGGAAGGCAGATAGAACCAAACCTTAGAACCCTGACTACTGCTTAAAACATTTTTTTTTTCCTAAAATACTTGCCCCTGCATGTGATCATCTCTTATCTACCCAGCCTGCGTGAGTCACACTCATCTTGCCTCTGGTCTTCTGATTCTCTCCTGTCTCACACTTGAGAAAATAACCTCCTCAAAGGAGGCTCTCAGGAGCAGGAGGAGCTCCAGGTTTCCAGGCCCTGACTGTGCCCTTCCACCGTGCTCTTCTTTGCCTCCCCGTGGGACACAAACCCATTAAACCAGCAATTAAACCACAAGATAGGTGTCTGAAGTTATTCATCGTAATAGTGGAAGGAAATTACTCACTCCCGGGAAACAGCATATATGTTTTAAATCTGATTGCTCTAGTGTGTCCCTTTAAGCACTTGTAATGATTTTCAGAGGTTGAATGTGACAAATGATTTTAAAGAATTGTTAAAGAGAAAACCACAGGCCCAAAATGGCCTCACTTGTGTTAAAGCCCACGTTAAGCCTAGACTTAATACTTGATTTAATTGCAGTTTCAGCTTCTCCCAGAAATATAATCTTAGTCAACCAGTCTGGGATTTACTGGTCAAGCACCCATAAAATAATCTGTTGCCTCAAAGGAAGAAGAGGAAATCTGCTTGACAAAACACTTGCCTTTCCCTTCTCCCACAAAAGATGTTCTGGTTTAAAAATAATCCTATTTTGGGCTGGCTGAGTGGCTCAGTTGGTTAAGATCTTGCTCAAGAGTTTGAGCTCTGAGCAACAGCGGTTCAATGCCTGGCCCGAGCTGAGCTGCCAAAAGGTGGTAGGATGGCTCAGCTAAAAAAAAAAAAAAATCCTATTTTTTTGCAGGGGGTGGGGTGGTGCGGCTGGGTGGCTCAGTTGGTTAGAGCACATGCTCTTAGCAACAAGGTTGCCGGTTCGACTCCCACATGGGATGGTGGACCGCACCCCCCACAGCTAGATTGAAAACAGCGACTGGACTTGGAGCTGAGCTGCACCTTCCAACTAAGATTGAAGGACAACAACTTGACTTGGAGCTGATGGGGCCTGGAAAAAAACACATTGTTCTCTGAAAAAAACACATTGTTCACCAATAAAGTTTTAAAAAAAATTTGTGATAAAAAATAATAAATAATTCAATTAAAAAAAATTTTTTTTCTAGTAACTTCCCTACCCCACCTTTCTTCCTATAAAAACCTTCCATTTTATACAGCCCCTCAGAGTGTCCTTCTACTTGTTGGATGGGATGCTGTCCCATTCATGAATTGCTTAATAAAGCCAATTAGATCTTCAGATTTACTCGGTTAAATTTTGTTAACAGTATTAAGATTCATTTTAAATAAAAGTTATGCATCCAAGTGAGCAAAGCCCTTTGAAGGAGAGGGTCTACACATTAACTCATCTATGTTGTTAATGTCAAAAACCTCTTAGAATCCTCTTTGGGAAGATAGAAGCCCTAGCATTAAGAGTATCAACATGAGTTTAGACCCTAAATTACTACTTGGGTGATCTTGGGCCAGTCCTGTAACCTTTTTGGGTGTTTTCTTGGCTGTAAAACGACAATAATAATAGTACTTGGGTAAAGCTGTTGTGAGAGCTAATTGGGCTAACAAAGAAAAAATGCTTGACCTTGGACTTGGCATGTGCAAGAGCTCAGTTAAATGGGCTGCTATTGTATTATTATCTCATGAGACATGAAGTTTATTTCTTTGTATTTAATGGACTTGCCCCTCGCTTTCTCTCCTTTCCTCCCTTGATGCTTAGCCTGCCTGCTTCCCATCACATGGGTCTAGCCACTGGCTTTGCCCATAAAATAGAGTTGGTCCCTGCCCTCATGCAGTGGTCAGTCTTGGCTGGCCACTTGGAAGGCACTCTGCATTCCAAGCAGACCCAGCTTTTTGTCATTTTTGTACTTGGGACCTTTGCATGACAAGTTTCTTAATTTTAATAGCAGTTTCTTCTTTTCTTGTAAAATTACCATGAAATCGCATTTTAAGAGTTTATATTGATTATTTGTAGGTTTGGGGGCTTGAGGTATTTTGTTACTTTATTTGGACACTTATTGCTACAAAAATCAAGTGTCATTTAAAAATTTTTTTATTATTTTAATAGGGCTGGCCAAGTGGTGCGTTGGTTAAGAGCTGGCTTGGGATGCCAGAGTGCCCTGGTTCGGATCCCACATATGAGGGCCAGTGACACTGCCCTCTACAGCTAGGATGCTGAACAACAGCTCAACCTGGAGCTGGGGTGCCGTGAATCGCCGGCGACGGCGTAGGCTGCAGCCCCTGCTGCAGTGGGTTGCCATGGGCTACCCTGTAGCCAGCAGCCAGCATGAGCGGCCAGCAGCCGCAGTGAGCGGCCGTCCAGAAGCTGGCGAGTGATCTGCCTCATCCAGAAAGAGCACAATGATGGTGCCAACTTGGGCCAGTGAAGCAACATCCTCCACAACTAGACTGAAGAACAAAACGACAGCAAGTTGTCTGTTCCCATCCCCCAATTCCCCAATAAAAATCTTAAAAAAAAAATCATTTTAATAAAAAGTGCCTAAGTGTCGCCACCTCTGCGAAGCCTTCCCCTTCTGAGAAGCGGGTTCTTGTTTATCTGTGTCCTCACAGCACCATGCATGATAGTGACTGTCAGTTGTTGAGATTAGTTGTTAAAGTGTCTGACTCCCCAAGCCCAAGTAGACTTCGAACCCCTTTCAGGCAGAAACTGTTTTATTTGCTGTTATCTCTGGCATTTTGCACAGTGCCTAACTGTAAGAGTAAACTGGGCCCTCTGAGTTCTCTTAGGTGCTTATTGCTGCTGTGAATTTATGACCTCAGCGTATAATGGGTGAGAAATTGATGAAGAAATCAGCCAGTGTCCAATGTTTCTTCCTGTGTGCACTCATCAGCCAAAGGAAGAGGGCCCGCCCTCCCTGTTCTCTGCAGGAAGAGGACCCTGAACTCCAGTGTTGGGTCTCCTTTGCCCAAGGAAGGGGTTAATAACAGCTTTTGTATTTCTGGGTCAAAACGTCCAAATTATCCCATGTGAAAGACAACTCCAGCCAGGCTTTGTTTTTGAAGGTTCTGGGGGCTGAGACAGCCAGGCAGGATCACAGCGGAGTGGGGTGGGGGGGCCCTTAATGGTGCCACCCTTAATGGTGGCAATTCCCCACCCTCCCTGTTCATTTGCTGGTATCCTGAAGGCTTTCTCCAGTCCAGACAAGTCTGAAACAGAGAACAAAGGCAGCAAATACCTTCCTTTTAAGTTAAAGTTGTGAGACAGCAGGGTTAGGACAGAGCGGTTTAGAAACTGCAGAAATATTTCTCTAACTTGTCTGCTCCTTGTTTCCACTCCACCCAAGGCCCTTGGGAAGAAGGAGGGAGGAGAATTTGGAAGCAAGGAGTGTGACCAGACAAGGGGATAGTTTCTGTTCCCCGCTCAGGCTAAGCCTTCGTGGAGGAGGTGGGTTGGCACTGCTGACAAGATACAAGGACCCTGTCCTTAAGCCCAAGAGGAGGGCAGGCCTTGCCTGCTTGGTCTTGCTGGAGTTCACCATTTGTGAGCTTCCCCTTGTCTTTGTAGCTGCAGAGCCAGAGCAGAGATGGCCGTGAGGTATGTCTGATGAGCAAATGTCTGCTGATAGCCCAAAGCTTCCCTCAGCCCACAGGTGCCCCTCCACCAGCCCACACATGCAGAGAGGTTCTGACCCCCGGGCTCTGGCCAGAAGGAGGTGAGCCCTCAGGGAGCAGGGTGGG